GGCGCGGGCTGCCCGGCGCGCGGGTCCGCTCCGCGCAGCGAGCGGCCGCCCGTGCGGGCCCGGTGCGCACACCGATGGCCAGACACCTGGAATGCGCTTTCAGACAGCCCGTTCAGCAGCTGCAGTTGGGCCTCGTTCAGAAACGCGCTGTGTTCTGGTGCCGGTACAGAGCCTGGCTGTACCACGGCTCTGCATAGACCGGCCTCTTGTTTGCACCTTGGTGGAGCTTGGCACCAGGTTTAGCAGTGGTTAAACCGGCCTCTCAAGATCCGTGAAGACAGGTGAGCGAAACCTAATGTGGGAGGTAGCAGAAGTGCCAGAAGTGATTTATCAACATTGCTAGCACATGAGTAATTTAAATACTTAAAATACTTGGGAACAGTCAAGACAGTAAATGTTGTCGCAGCAGAGTGAACAYGTTGTAAAGTTCCTAAGCTTGTCCGTGGAGGACTGGCAAGAAGATGGGTGACTTATGTGCATGGGAGAAATAGTAGTGGTTGTTGGCATTTATCTGTTTATTTGTAAGGAAATTGCTGTGTACTGCTGCAAGCAGTTTATGGTGACACAAAGCTAGCAGCTTTTTAGCTATAAAGACGACTCCTACAGATGTACCAACATGGTACCATAATGTCCCTGAGCAGCCTTGCTTGGGAACCGAGGTTAATTCTGGTGCGCTGTGGGAAAGCCAGGCAGCCTGAGCCAGTAAGAGTTTACACCCTAATGATTTGCACTTGAATTGGAAAAGTTCAGAAGTAAAATTGAAACCCATAAGTGTTGGCTCGTACAGTGCAGGAGTTCCTCTTGCACTGCTTCGTGTCCGTGCTGTGTCTGACTACCACTGCCCTTTCGGCCAGTCTTCGCTTTGGACAGCAGATGAAATCTTGACTTGTGATTCCGACTGGTTGGCAAAAGGGTCTATGGAGGTAGAATGTTAAGAGGTTATTTGGAAAGATGAATTCGGGTCCCATATTCCTTACTCCTGGGAATGTCCTTGTTTGCAGGAAATGCAACAAGACTCGATTATTGAATTAGTTAGCAAGAACAGACATTGCTAAAGTGTCGTTTAATGTGTCTAGAAAATGGCTTGTTTCTATGGCAAGCCGTGGGAATGAGCAATTTTTACTACATCTTTGTTCTTTTTATGTAATGACTGAAAATAACAATTGTTAGAGCTGCTTAAACATTTTTGAATGGTTCTACAACAAACATCAAGACATCTGTTGGAAGGTTTACCAGGTAACGGAACATGCTGCAATATTACTTTGTGTTGCATGGTCTGCACAGTCAAGCATAACTTGCATGCATAGAGAATCTTCTTCAGGCTACTTTATTAGGTTAAAGAACTTAGAATATGAAGTAACTTCAATAGCTGCTTCTGACTTTAAGTACCTCAAAGCTAGCAGCAACCCAGCACTCCAAATAACAGATAATCCTTTGTGTGCGACTTAAAGTATCGGCCTGTGCTGGTGTTTGTTGATCAGAGATTAATGGTGTTTCTTACTCTGCTTGTTCATTTTGGCAGGTTTTTCTCCTGTATGAGGAAGCTTTGTTGCCAAGATTTGTTCTGAAAATCCATGCTACTGACTGCAGCTGTCTACAAATGTAGAAGACTTGCAAATTGCATCTCCCCCCTACCCAACTGACCCATTTCCTATGGAATTCATGATTCTTAATATTTTTAAAAATTCTGTCTCTACTGAGGATGTTTGGATTATAACTGTGAGCATATCTATGCAAAGAGACAAATTAGCCTGAGTAATTGAGGTATGTATGTCTACTACCACTTAAAAGAAATTGGTATTTGAAGTGTGTTGTTGAAATTGGGAATAAATGTGCTGATTTGGGTGGTGAAACTTTACAAAATCTGCCTAAGAGTGGCAAGTAACGAAGCCTTGTAAAGCTGTGAAGTCAGAAAAGAACATAAATTCTTGAAGCCAGGCTCCACCTTTGCTTTAAGCTACATCTATGTTTGCACATTGGGGAAGAAAGGAGGCAAGGTGGGAAAGTGTTATATGAGGGAGAGAACTCTAGCATATTTTAGATACAAATTGCTAAAACTAAGGGTCGTGTTGTAGATTCATGGAGTATGCACCTGCACAGCAGGATATTTCGAGCACCAGAGTATCCAGCTGGCATCGTGTGAGTGTTGGCCTTGGTTGAACCTGCTCTAGGAATATTCAGGAGTTTTCTTTCAGAAGAGGAACTGTGTTGTATGACCTGAGCCTTCACCCCTCATCCATTCAGCCAGGCTCTGTACAGTGTAGCTTCTTCCAAGGATTTGACTCACATGACATTGTCATTGAAATGCCTCTGTGAGGCAGTGGAGATTTCTTTAGCAGAAGAAAGTGGACAGCATCAGAAGATGTGTGCCTTGAATTGGAGAGACTAATGAGGGACAGAAGTGATCTTGCATATGTTCCTATAATCACATCATAGTGCTGTGATCTTTTGCTGCAAGTTTGGTTTGTTTCAAATTTAAGCCTTTTAGCTTTGAAATGCCTGCTAAGGAGATGGGAACATACTGATTCAGAGAGCAACCTGCCCACAGTGTTAACAAAACTTTCAGAACTGGGTCCTTGCTTTTTGACAATCTATGGAACTTTGTCCCACCCACCTAATAAGGATGGAGAAACTTTACGCTTTGTCTCAGAGCATCCAGTAGCTTGCTCAGTTGCATTATACCTTAAGATTTTTAGTTGTATTTTCATATCAAATTGCAAGCCTGGAATGAGGGGATCAGCTAATTTCGTCTCCGACTAGGAAGAAGCTGGTATGTATTGATACATCTGCTGACTCTCCTAAGCTTCTTAAGCACAGCAGCGAGTGCTGGGCCTTGGCGGCAGCGTGTGTTAGGAGGCACCTTCCTGGAGCTGTGATTCAGACGCTCCTGGAGGGCCCTGGCTTTACCTGCCTGCTCTCAGCTCTGAAGTTACCACAGCTGTGGCAGGAAGGGAGAACGGGCAGTGTCCGCAGTGGGCCGAGAGCGGGGCCGTTGCCCCTGATGTGCTCGCCTCCCTCCTGCGAGCTGGGCGAGCCCCAGGGCAGCAACTTGCTGCCTCGGTCCATGTGGGAATTGCTTTTGTTTTTGGTAGTATACAGAGCTGGCAGGGGCAGAAGACACAGGGAATGGCAGTTTCAGGAAAACTGGAGAAACACCAGAACTTCCCCTTCCCCAAAAGGTAGTTTTTTCAGAAATTAGTTTTTTCAGAAAACTAATTGAACAATTGTTTGAGTAAATTTGTCTGAAAATTTTTAACAATAACTAGATGAAGTTTGTCCTTGATTGCAAAGGCTTTTAAGGATTTCTTGAAATAACTTTACTTTTTTAATAATGAATGTGTATCAGAAATAAAAGTGAGTATTCATGTGTGAAATGTTAAAGAATGAGTAAGGTACAGTTTTCTTTGTAATAAGAAATGATCTGAAAGCTGAATTGTGTGCACTGAAGAAATGTGGTTCTTAAGCTGCTCTGAAAGTTAATGAAAGTTTTCAGAGAATGTCACAGGGCACTGAGAGGTTGTGACAAATGGTTGTGTGGTTGGTGCAGCTTGTGTGACCAGTTACAATTAGAATTCTACGGAGATTTAGTTACATTATCCTCAGAGATAAACTTGTGACTTTTCAAATCTGCATGAAGTGGTTGGTCTCCCTTAAATTCCTTGTCAGCCTGTTTTGATTTTTTTTTTTGCTAGATATGTTGTCCGTGATTTTCCTGAAAGGTGGTTGCCATGGTGATTATCCTGTTGTCAAATATGTTTTTATGCTCTGTGGGTATTTTGGTTTGGAATATTTGCAGAAAGTCATCTTTTCTGGGATCACTAGAAGTTCTAGAATTTTAATGGATACTAGTAGTAAGGAATAGTTTCACAGCTGCTGTGTTTGCAAGGAGCAGTAAGTGCATTAAACGTGAGAACTGGAAATAATGGTTAAAATTAGAGGAACTGGAAAAAGGGTAGTTCTTGTTCAGACCTGTTGTAACTGAACTTACCTGCATCTGTTCATGCTGGGAAGCAGCCTTTTCCATTCCGGGTGCGCGGGGCTGTGCCTTCGCAATGTGGGCTTTTAGTTGGGGTAACCTCTAGCCCTCGCTTGCGCTTCACTGGTGGAGCGYGAGTGCTGCCTCTGGTCCTCCCTGTTCTTCCCAGCACCTTGAGCAGGCGAGGAAGATGTGCTGTGCTGGGGACGCAGCGCTGCCAGCTGCAGCGAGGATGTTTCCATGCCCATGTACAGAGTGCAGGTGCTGCACGAATAGCCCCCAAGGTGATAAGCCTGTGCAGCTGCTGGAGGAAAGGCCTGGCTTGATGTGGCTTGATGGGCCATGCCAACATAAAACAATTGTGGTTGGAAAAGACCTTCAACATTATCGAGCCTAACGGTGAAACATAAATTCTCCGCTCTCGGAGCGTGAGCTAGATACAACCGGTGTTTGTTAGGAGGCAGGTTTGATTAGTGCTTGTACTGAGCACCTCTGCTGGGTCTGCAGCACGGTCCTGCTGTGTGGTTTGTGTGCTGGCAGATGGAGGTTTGTCGCTCTGCAGGGACAGTTCTCATGCTCATGGTGGCTTTGCTCACTGTGGTGTTTCTCAGGTAGTTTGCTGTTCTGAAAAAGTACATGGGGTGTTAAATTTTAGTTCTACTTTAACAAAGATATTTAAATGCTTTAAAGAGCTGAGTTAGGGAAACGAGCAAACAAATAGAAATGGAATAGAGGGAATGGCAACTTACAAGGGAGAGGTAAAAAGGGAGCAGCCATTTATTTGTTGGCAGTTGCCAGCTTGGGCTCATCTGATGTGCCTCGCATTACTCTATATCTTGTAAATATTTTTAAAAGTTTGGGGACTATGGAATTTGTAGGTAATTAGTGGACAAGCATCTTTAATTCAGATTGCATAGTTAACACGTGTCCTTATGGTTTAGAGGTAGAGCCTCATAATTGTGGGAATTGGAGCACATGAGGAGATACTTGCATTTGTTTTGCTGTGGTGTAGTTTTTTTAATGAAGTATCCTTTTTATCAAAGAAGTAAAATCCTTCTCCAGCTTTTCTCTTTGGTTTTACTGAAATGAAAGAAGAGAGCACAATCTTTCAGTCAAAAGAAGAGAAACTCAACCTATCATTTAACTATTAATCAAATCTCATGATTTTCATGTGTTTGAGGGCTGGTTTGAGCTACGTACAATGCTGTAACAGCTGGAAGTGGCTTGGCCTGTTCTTGGGCAGCATCTGCTGAACACAAAGCAAAATACTCATGCAGAAAATAGCTATATTAGCTATATATACCAGCAGTTTTGAAGCTTGGAGCAAGATCTCTGCCTCTCATGGGGGTATGCAGCACTTCTTAAATGCTTATGTTCTTGAATGCAATTAAATTACCTTATGACCCACTCTTGCTGTTTCTGAGCTGCCTGTTTTGGGCAGGATTATCCCAGCAGTGCTAGTAAGCAGCAAGATGGCCTTCCCTTCTTTTGCTGTGGTCCATGAGAGGGTCTGGAAGCGCAGGCATGGCTGGCGTTTGGGAATTGCCACAATTGCTAATGGTATCCCATTGCTTAGGGATGGCAGTTCACATCTGAGCCCCCATGCCTAGTTCACGGCAGTGCCCAGCAGCACTGGCTGGGATGAGTTGCGATTTGCACCTGAACTCTTCCACTTCAGCTGTAGCTCCTCATTAGMTTCTTCAGGTAAGGGTAGGAGGCAGAATTGTCACTGCCTAACCCTGGGTTTGTGGTTGTAGAGTAATTTCATCTGCTCTCTGAGGGCTGATGGAGTTGGGCTGTTACCTAAGCCAGCGTGTATAGTTCCCTGCATCACTGTGGCCCGTAGCACAGGTATAGCATGCATGCATCTACCCGGCGTAGGACTAGAGATCCTACTCTATTTCCAGGACCACCACAGGAAGCTCCTGTTGTCTTACATCCTGGAATGTGCTTTTTCTTCCTTTTAGAAAAGATAAAAGGAAATAGCTGTTTGGAGTGAAATTTTTCTATTTGTAGTATTTCCCTGGCATACAGATATGGGTTATTTAAGAAAACTCGGGTCTTGGAGGTGTTCCTGTATTCTGATTAGGTTCTTGTGAATTCATGTTGCTTCACTGGCTGAAGTGTTTTGTTCCCATGTTTTGCACCAGGGTCATTACATAACTGTTGGTCTAGTTAGCCTTGAATGAGTGTTCTTGATATTGGGTGACTGCAGCTGTCAGTGGGCAGAGCTTGAAGACAGCAGCCGATGCATTTCCGCCAAGCAGCCACGTTCACTGCTGCCCATCATGTGCTTTTGGTGTTTAATGTCATCATCTGTCATGAGGTTTTGCTGATTTTAATGCTTGAAATAACATTTGACGTTCCTTTTTGGGTGGTATGTAGTGTGGATTATAATAAATTGCAGCTGAATTTATGCACATCCTTTGGCAATAGAGAATAATACATTTGCCAGCAACTTGGTGTTAAAAATGTTTACTGAAATTGGAGCCTAAGTGAATTTCATATTAAATGGGTTTGGTCTTAAGCTCCAAAACAGCATTTTTTAAAAATGAAAATGCCTGAAAAGGATTTATGCTACAAATGTAAAGATTAGTAATTTATTTTGTGATTGGGTATAAGAATCAAAGGAGGAAGCACCGCTGCTAGCACTAATGTGCTGCTCCCCCCAGAGCTTCCTTAGGGCGCGGGTGGCCGGCTCGCTGGCATCCCTGCGGATTCCCCCAAGCAGGCCCAGCTCCATAGCCCAAGACGGCTGAGTTACAGAATCACGGAATGTTAAAGGTTG